CCTAAACTCCGGGGTATTTTTTCGTGTGTAATAAGCTAAAAAATGACGTAGATTTTGACTGGAATATTGCATCCTAGCTCCGTATAGAGACATTAAAAATATTTAATTTTTTCGTATTTTTTTTTTGCTTTCATCCGTCTAATGATCACGCGCTTTTTATTGTGACGACATTCACAAAATACTGCAACATTTTTCAAATACTACTGATGATTAGAAGCATCTCGAGACCTGTCTTTTAAGCCCCCTAACGCGCTCAAAGGTGCCTCAGAACTAAATCTACAGCCAAATTAAGAATATAATCATTAACGAAATTGAAAAATAGAATCGCGATTTCGAGCTTAACTTTACTAAAGTGTCCTTTATTTTCTACAAATCCCTAATAAATTTTCAAAACATCATGTTTGACATATTTTTCGACGAGAAAACCAATGGTGACCATGGATTTGACCTTGAACAGAACCTCTAAGCTACAACGAACTAAAATTGATTTTTCGCTCGGTGACCCCCAAAAGAGCGGAAAATTTTAAGGTTCAAATACATCTTTTGTAATGTGCGCTTGAAGAGCAACTCTGACCTCGATGATGCTATTAAAGGCCTATACAACTGTATATTTGACGCTCTAGATATAGCAACCCCAACGATCAAAGATAAACCTAAGCTTTTTTACCTACCAAAACAAATCGAGCAACAAATCAGAGAAAAAAGAAGGTTGCGTAGAGTTTGGCAAAAAACGAGAACACCGGCCGATAAATATCATTTCAATAAAGCAATCAAAGACTTAAAGAAAATGCTGATTGAGCATAAAAATAATAGACTAAATAATTACCTTAAAAATCTTACGGCGGATAAAAATACTAACTATTCACTCTGGAAAGCTACAAAGCATTTAAAGAGACCCAAGCAGCACATTCCTCCTCTTTATAACCCGAATAACTCATGGGCGAGAACGCCTATGGATAAGGCAAATCTTTTTGCTTCACACTTGAAAGAAACTTTCACTCCACACGATAGAATGGTCGCCGAAGAAAAAGAAAATGAAATTCTGGCTGAATGCCCACCTCAAGACAATTTAAACAATGCGCCGATCTCGGTCAAAATTAATGAAGTTTCGGAAATAATTAAAAACCTAAATTTCAAGAAAGCTCCAGGTTTTGACGGAATCTCTGGAAAGGTATTCAAGGAGCTACCCTCAAAGGCAGTAAGACACATAACAATCCTGTTAAACGCGTCTTACCGGCTCTCATACTTCCCAAAGCAACTAAAAATCGCAATTTTTCTAAATTAAACTAAAAATAGCACAAATCATTTTGATAGCTAAACCGGGAAAAGACCCTACCAAGGTAACATCTTACAGACCCATAAGCTTGCTGCCAGTCCTCGCAAAAATCCTGGAAATCACAATCGCAAAGAGGCTTCATAAAATTATCGAAGAAAAAACGCTGATTCCAAATTATCATTTTGGGTTTCGTAAGAAGCATGCCACCATAGAGCAAATAAATAGGATCACTGCACTGATCAGGACTGCATTTGAAAGGAATGAATTTTGTAACGCAGTGTTCCTTGATATTTCACAGGCCTTTGACAAGGTCTGGCACAAGGGACTCATTCATAAACTGAGGAAATGTTTGCCCAGCAAAATGGTAGCGCTTATGGAATCATATCTAAGTGATAGATCCTTCAGGGTGGAATGCGAAAATCACTTCTCTGCATTCTATCCCATCGAGGCTGGAGTACCACAGGGTAGTATTTTGGGACCAACCCTGTACCTCATGTACACAGCAGATTTCCCGACGGAACAAAACATCACCATTGCCACCTATGCTGACGATACAGCATTGCTTTATACGAATACAGATCACATCTTAGCCGCGGATATCATGCAAACCCACATGAGTCGAATGGAGGAGTGGTTTAAAACCTGGAGGATTAGCGTCAACGAAACTAAGTCGGTCAACATTACATTTACGCTAAAGAAGGATACATGTCCTCCAATCAAACTAAATGATAAAGTAATACCACAAGAAAAACCAAGTTAAATATCTTGGTATTTATCTGGACCGTCGTTTGACATGGCGCCCTCACATCTGGAACAAGAGGATGCATCTGAATCTCAAGGTCAAAAAGATGTACTGGCTTCTGGGAAAAAGATCGCAATTATCACTAGAAAACAAGCTCCGATTATATCTATCGCTACTTAAACCGGTGTGGACATACGGTATCCAGATGTGGGGAGTGGCATCAAAAACGAACATCGATATTATCGAAAGGTTCCAGAATAAAACCTTGCAAAGCTTAGTTGACGCACCCTGGTACATGCCTAACAACCTCATCCTAAAAGACCTTAAAATAAGTTCAGTGCAGGAGGAAATCAAAGCAAGTTACCGAAGATACGACAAAAGGTTATCTGAACCCCCAACAACCTGGCCAGAGCACTGCCAACAGTAAATAAAAAAAGAACACGACTAAAAAGATTAAGATTGATCGAGACAAACAATGCATAACATATAAAACTACCAAGAATGTAATATCTGCTCTTTTTATGTAATTTAATTTTCAACTTTTATAGACTTCGCGTGAAATCATTGGATTTTCACGGAAGAGGATATTTGTAATTTCACAATGATATAAACAACTAAATTGCATAGCAAATGAACTCATTGTCCTATAAGGACAGATTGTATCATAATCTCTTGAAAATAAAAAAAAAAAAAAAAAAAAAAAAAAAAAAAAAAAAAAAAAAAAAAAAAAAAAAAAAAAAAAAAAAAAAAAAAAAAAAAAAAAAAAAAAAAAAAAAAAAAAAAAAAAAAAAAAAAAAAAAAAAAAAAAAAAAAAAAAAAAAAAAAAAAAAAAAAAAAAAAAAAAAAAAAAAAAAAAAAAAAAAAAAAAAAAAAAAAAAAAAAAAAAAAAAAAAAAAAAAAAAAAAAAAAAAAAAAAAAAAAAAAAAAAAAAAAAAAAAAAAAAAAAAAAAAAAAAAAAAAAAAAAAAAAAAAAAAAAAAAAAAAAAAAAAAAAAAAAAAAAAAAAAAAAAAAAAAAAAAAAAAAAAAAAAAAAAAAAAAAAAAAAAAAAAAAAAAAAAAAAAAAAAAAAAAAAAAAAAAAAAAAAAAAAAAAAAAAAAAAAAAAAAAAAAAAAAAAAAAAAAAAAAAAAAAAAAAAAAAAATACATCTTTAGTTTTTTTGAAGGTTATAGAATAATATGTTCATGGTCACTTAAGGGCGATGTTGTACGCTAAAAGACCTTCATAGAACCTAGAATAATCTCATATAAGAAATGAAATAAAATAACCTCAAAAAAAAACTATAGATGTATTTGAACGTAAAATTTTCTGCTCTTTTCAAATATGCAATAAAAAATGAGGGTCAAATCCAAGGTCACCATTGGTTTCACGTCGAAAAATACGTTGAACATGATGTTTTAAAAATTTTTTGGGGATTTGTAGGAATTAAAGGACACTTTAGTAAAGTTAATCCATTAAGTCCAGGATAGACACTTTTTTGATACTTTTTTGAGGCGTTATATTTTTGTTTAAAATGGGGTCTGAAAAAATTGCGAGTAAGCATAATCTACGCAAAATTTAATGAACTTTTCGAATCCAGCGTCAGATTTTTGATATAACCAACCCGTCAAAAGTTATGGCTGATTTTATCCAAAAAAACGCGGTTTTGAATAAAAAATTTGTTTCTTTTCAATTTTTCACATGAAAATCGTTGAAGTCCTGGCGTCTCGGGTGCTAATGAAGCGTCCATAGACCCTAAACTGAAAGTTATCGTGGTTTAGATTGGAAAAAATAAAGTTTAAGTAAACAAAATGGCGGTTAGAACACCAAAATTTTTTAGAAACCTTCTAGAATTTTTAAATCGAAAAAGAAGGGCTTAACGAAAAAATTTTACAAATAAAAAGTTCTTAGAATTGATCAAAGAATACGCTAGAATTTTTTCAGATTTTTTTCACTCAGATTTTTAGCTTATTACACACGAAAAAATACCTTGGAGTTTAGGAAAAATTGGTGTTTCTCCGAGCGAACCTCAGCTATTAGAAAACTAGAAAAATTGCGATTTTTTTCCATTTTTTAGCAATATTCAAATGGCTCTACAGCAGTTAATTTTGAAGCAATCAAAACTTTGAAAAAAGCAAATTAAAGGTCTTTTTAAGACCTTTAATTTTTTAAAAACTCTAAATTTTGATTTGCTTAAAAATTGATGGCTACAGAGCCATTTGAATATTGCTGTAAAGAAGCGGAAAAATTTAATTTGAATCAAATTTAAAAACCTTCAAGCGACTGGTGGCACGGGTTATCTCAATTTATATTAGCTAAAATTTTGCACAGACTATTTTTTTGGTAAATTGATCACTTTTCCGTTTGGTCCGGGCAAAATAAAAAAAATTTCTTTTTTTGCTTCCAGTCTACTGGTCATAGGATGGAACCGAAAACGACTGTTTAGACCAGATTTATTGGGAGGTCGTGAAATAAATATAATAATAATGCTTATATTAAACTGATTTATTATTATAAATATAAGAAATAAAGAATAAATGACAGAGTATGTGTTTTCGCGGCCGTGGTCAGACGTAATCTGCCGAGCGCCGAGCGCACAGGCACGAAGGGACTGGTATCCCCACTCTTGGGCCAGCGTCTCGCGTGAGCGCGCGTATACCATATGAATCACACTTCGCACACACACACAAGCATAGCACATACTAAAATAAGAGAGTCACAAACATTTGTGATTTTCAACAAGATTAAACGGATAGTCATATAAACCATAAAGATCATAAGCAGATTCTTGTATATTTAAATGATAGAACAAAGAAGAACGGAAAAATAATAAAATGGGAAAAGATACAAGAGATATAGAATGAGTTTATAGAGATTTTGATTCGAGTCGAGGTCGTATAGGTCTAAAGATCCAAAATTAAAGGTTTGAGCGTAATGGTCGTCTGAAGATGCTATATTTATGAATTTTCATATTTTCTTATAAACATATGATAATTTTTACTTACTCTGCTTCACATTTTATGAAATGACCTGAACGATCTGTACCACAATGACCATTTATAGATCCTTTTGAATTAAATTGTTCAAAGCATTGTCTATCTGCAGCCATTCCTCCGTATCCCCATATTTGTCGACATTGTTGATTAAGGGCAGGACATTGGCCATTGAAACAAAATCCTTCGCCGCTTGCGCAAGGGTGTCCATTTTTCTTGAAAACATCAATTGGACACGAACCAACATTACCAGAGCAAAACTCAGGTAGGTCACATTCGTTAGTTGCTTCTCGACAAATAGATCCACTTAATTTTAGCTGAAACAGAATAGTTTTTTGAAGTGCATTGATTTACTAAAATGCAATAAGAACTGTTTATTAATTTGATAATTATTTATTACAATTAGATAAGAAAAATGAACAATGGTTAAAAAGAATAACGCTTATGTTGCGTACTAATGGTACTCTGACCGTCGCTCAGCCAAGGTGTCTGTTAAAGTAACAGTTCCTTTCGGTAGCTCTTAGTTTTAGCGAGATACCTCATATCACAACTATCTTAAATATCGCGAAGATGATACTGCCCTTCTAGCGGCTTACTCGAAGGTATTTATGGACTCCTAAAAAATCCAAAGCCGTCTTGAGAATGTGCAAGAGTGGTTTAGCAAATGGCGTGTCAAAGTCAATGCAGATAAATCTGCACACATCACTTTCACCCTCAGAAGAGAGACTTGCGCTTAGGTGTTTTTTTATGGTAGCCCGATCCCGGTGAGCGACCAGGTAAAATACCTGGGACTGCACCTCGACCACCGTCTGACGTGGAGAGTGCATGTATGGTCTAAAAGAAAGCAACTGGGCCTCAAGCTGCGTTCGTTGTACTGGCTGATTGGCCGCAACTCAGCTCTTTCTCTGGAAAATAAGGTGTTGTTATACAAGGCAATTCTGAAGGCCGATTTGGACGTACGGTTGTCAGCTCTGGGGCAGAGCGGCAAACTCAAATATTTAAGTGATCGAGCATTTTTAGGCCAAGGTGCTTCGATGTTTGGTTTGTGCCAAATGAGGTGATTTGGGGAGACCTCAGAATCCCGACGATCCGAGAGGAGATCGACAAGTGTCGCAAAAAATACGGGTGTAGGCTGGAACTACACTCCAACCTTCTGGCGTTGATTTTGGCCCCATCTCTCATACGGTCGAGACTCAAGAAGGCACAGAAGCTTTTAATCAGCTAAACTCGGTCTGGCCATTTTAGGACAAACCCACAAATAAATCGCTAAAAACTGTCTGGTGTACAGTGGCGCACCCTCCAGACTAGCACTATTCACTCAATACACGCTAAATGTATTTAATTATTGTCCTGTATTGACAGATTTCAAATAAAAAGATTACAGATGAAAAAAAAAAAAAAATTTCAAATTTTTTCAGAGATGTGAACGCACCTTGTAACGGTGGGATCTGGTGGGGGCTTATAATGATAAGTCGTAAAGTTCGGTAACAAGTATTTGTTGTTTTATTAATAAACTAATGATTAATTATTTACAAATATAACAAATAAATTAAGTAAACAAAAGGATTGGACTTTAGTTAGAAAGAGCAGAAAGCAAAGGAAAATATTAACTTTGATTGCAAAGAAATAAGAAAAGCAACAAATGATTATTCAATATTAACAATTAAGCAAAGATTAATCAATGATAGCTAAGCAATTAGGTGACAGGCAAAGCGGACACAGGTGCGGTGGATTACCCGTTGGTCGGATAGGACCGGACAGTCGGTACCTGGAACAAAGTGAGTGTCGGTTCGTATAAGTATATATCTATCGGATCAAGTGTCACACATAAACAGCCCCGGGTCGGTCGGTACGGAACGGAGGAACGGAGGAACGGTACGGGGATCGGGACGGGGATGCTCACGTGTGCCCACGAGAGTCGGAGAGAGTGCGTGTGCTCACGCACGGAAAGGTTTGAGTGTGTTACGTGTGCTCACGTACACAGCTTGATGCGTGTGCTCACGTATTAAGAGTCGAGCTTCTCACCTCGTGTGCTCACGATGTATCGCTCGCTTTGGCCGGAGCCGAATCTGCTTTACCGCTGCGGCTCGCTCGTTTATATAGGCGGGCGCCGACGGTGGGGGCCGCGCGTTGCCTAGCAACGCAAGTGCCCGCGCGGGGCCTACAGCGGCGCGCTCGTCTGCTACGCGACTCGCTCAGCTGATCGCGCAGCAGACGAGTGTTCGTACGGCCACGTACTTGGTCGTCACAACCTTTTGAAGCCAAAAACCCCTTTTTCACGAAAATAATTTTTTTAGGAGTTTTTACGAGTAAGCACTCTTTCATAATGCACCAGATGTGAAACATTGATGCTTGTGTTGGGATTTTCTGAATTTTTTTCTAGTTTTTTGATTTTTTAGTTTTTAATTTGGTTTTTTGTGTTGACTATTGATTCATGTTTTTGGATTATTTTGGTTTTTAACTTATTTAACTTTTACCCTTCATGCAAAACACCGATAAAGATGTTTCACATAAAAAAAATCCTGAAAATATTAATCATCTAATTGAATTTTTCTTACGAGTCAAGAAGGCTCAGGTAACAATGCACACCATTCAATGATATTTTTTTCGAAAGAACAGTTTCTGAGAATTTTTCGGTGTTGACTTCGATAGTAAAGCTCGATGGGCCTATCAGTAATTAGAATTTCAAAATTGAAAATAGAATAAGTTGAATTTCAAAACGCATAATAAACGCCATAAAATGCATGATTTTTGTATGAATTCGAGTTTGAATCCCACTACACGGAAAATGTTTTAAGTTCGCTGCCGTACTTTTGGCGGTATTATTATTATAGGCGATTTAGTCCCTCAAAATGATAAGTACTGGAAGTTGTACAAATATATGCGTCGAATTCTAGATATTGTTACTTTACCTAGGATGACTGACTCTTTGATTTCTAATTTGAGTCGTGTTATTTTTAAACATAATAATTATTATAAAAATCTAAAACCCGTTTTACCTTATAAGCTGCACTTACTTACACGTTATGCACGCATATTAAATTTGAACGGTCCATGTATCAACTTTTGGGGCATGCGATTTGAATCGTATCATAGACGAATTCGATTGAATTTTCAAAGTACTAGTTGCAATAAAAATCCTTTAATCACTATTGCTACTAAGCAAGCTTTTGGTATGTAAGATTCAAATGGTAATATGAAAGTTGATGAACAAATCATTTTTGGTCCTTCTTTGAAAGAGGATCTAATAAACCATTCTATTAAATTAAACAACCATACTTGTCATGGATATGTGACCATCAAAGGGACAAAATATCATAAAAATACATTAATTGTAATTAATGCGACAAATCTTGAAAAGGATTTCGGAAAAATAATCGAAATAGTAAATGATTCAGATAGAATACTTTTCTATATTCAAATTTATAAATAGATAACGTTTGATGATCATTTCTACGCTTATAATGTAAGGCTGACAAATGTATTTAAATTGATACCTTACGAGGATCTACCCATGTTGTACCCTGTTTTATTTATAAAAAAAAATTTAATTGCTTCTAGATATTGTATCTAATAAATATGTTTGTAAATATACATTAATAAAGTTGTTTATTCATATATGTTTTCTAATAATGAATTTCCTGCCATCGCCACATTAATATCATCCGCGCGCGAGCGCTTAGTCATCGTCATCGCTCGAGCTCATATTCTTCCCAATCATGAGATTGCTTCGCTCTCAGACCCATGAGACAAGAGACATGCCTGAACTTAGGGAGCTCTGCGTTCCCAAAACGATAATGTCGCGCTCTCAAGACAGAGCGTTCGCAGCGCTACCGCCAAAAGTACGGCAGCGCACTTAAAACATTTTCCGTGTAGAAGTTGTTCTCTAGAAGAGAAAAAGTTGAAGGTTTAATATTAACAATGCCACAAATGGTAATTTTTAAGTTTTTACACAAATATTGTAGAGTTGATACAAATATTAAAATTTCACAAGATTTACGCATTAATGCTGAGCGAAGCGAAGTCGTTTATCCTTTCAGCTCAATTGATTTCGGCATATTTTGTGTCAACGGTTTCTAGAGAACGACGTCACGTAATGTTCTGAAAGTTTTAGGGGTTGTTGAGGGTGGTCAGCTGAAAGTCTGATTGAAACATTTAACCGACCTTGTGCCTTGTGAAACCTTGGGCGACCTGGTGATTTGACGCCTTTAACCTAGTCGGCAAAACTCAAAAATAAAGAAAATTCTTTAAGAAGTTTTTACAGGGGCCAGATCGGTGACTTGGTGCAACAGATCGACGGAATGGGGTTAGCCATCTTTTGCACAGTACATATATGAACAAGCGTTGCAACATGATTAAATTGAGGTTTTTGTACAGGTATTGTAAAAATTAAATGATTTAGTATCATTTTACCTAGTCAGTACAACCCAAAAATAACGAAAATTCTCGAAGAAATCTTCACGGGGGCCAAATCGGCGACCTGGTGCACCATGCATTAATTACTCTATGGTATTAATAATCTTCAAATAGACTTAATATTGTAACAAAATATCGGCTTATTCATGGCGATATCGCATAATTTTAGCTTAACAAATTCGTCCGTGAACCTGCTAACCACGTTTGGCAAAATTATAGCGTAAAATCAGAAAGACACTGCGAGAGATACAGATAAACAGCAGGCAGCTTGTCACGTTGAAAAATGAATGAAAAACACTTATTCAAGGGGAGGATTTCATAAGACTAGATCAAAAAATAAATTTTTTGTTTTGCTTACTCAGTTCGCAAATGTCCCGTAGAATACATCTCCGAAGCCCTTTTTAGCAAAATCAATTTGATTAAACAATTATAGGCAATAAACTGGAGCTTCATTTATGTTCAGTGTTATACATATAATAGTATTTTCAATAATATGCTTCACGTGCATCAGTCAGTTATTACAAACAGCACTGATTATCATTCAGTGTGTAACCGATAGTGGGTAATTGATTTCTGTCTTTATAGCATAAAAAGAAATGTTATTCAATTATGTATATGAAGATGGTTACCTTGCAGTTCTTGCAACAGGGTCCAGATGCACATTCTGCTTCTCGAAATAATTTACAAGTTATAGCGTCACAGCATGGATCAAAATTTGCACATTCATCAATAGTTCCACAATCGCATTCTTCACCATCATCAATGATTCTATTCCCACATAGACGCCTAATATCAAGCTGTTACAAAATAATATTCATTAGTTAATCGAAAATTTATCATACACAATTGGAAAATGTATAGTAATGAGTATTTGAAAATCGAAAAAATTGGATATACTCTTTAATACAGCAATTTATAATAAATTTACAAAATAGCGAAAATTTTCAAAAATAACGTTATTCAAAGAAGAGATTTCATTTGTGTATTGTCCGCCATTGAAAAATCATTTTTTACTAAGTTAACGCGTGTTTCAAGAAAACAGACTAACATATTTAAAAAAAATTTTTTTGAAAACTATTTTTATTCTCATCATTGAGAAATAAATGACATTTAATAGTACATTATGTAGCAGGCAGGATCTAGCGATCGTTGCGAATCATAGCGATACATTATATGGCCAAACACAGCGACACGCAGTGACACACAACGATTGAGGTTTTTCCCATCCGCCATTGTTTCTTGAAATAGCGCTCATTTGAACCACCTATTAACATACGCGATTGGAAGTGATATTGTTCAGTTGTTTTATAGCAAACTGTGTAAAAGTATAATAATGTCGAGCGACGATTCAAGTGACGTAGGGGGTTAATGAAATTGTATCAAAAGAGATAAGAGAAATGGCCCAAAATGTTTCGCTAGATTTGCTCGCAATCAATATTGCGAAGATTTGCTATTAGCCTATTTTGTGCATTTGTCTGAATCATACGTGCCTATAAGTCTTGGGTCGATTTATTTAAAATTAAAAGCGACTATCAAAGCCGACAACAAAATCGCCATTGTCAAATATTTTCAACTAACTGCCTTTTTAAAAAAAAAAATTTTCTTGCTACCGTTGTAAAAAGTCAGTCATATTTACTAAAGAAGAAATTAACAAGTTTCTGAATGAAGCCGCCAATGAACTATATTTGAGCGCAAAGTTATGTATATTTTTTCTTATAAATTTTACTTATTATTCGTATTTATTTATTTAATTGAGGGTTCCGTGATTGAGACCGTTACATGCTTGCGAGCCGAATGTTGGAGATGCTGAGCAGCATGTTGCGAAGATAGCAGACGACGCTTTCGGCGCCATGGGCTTGAATAGCCGGCGTTTGACCAGCGTGAAGCACTCTGTTTCTATGAGCCCTAGCGCGAGCGTGCGATAGAATTCCTCCTTCGATACTCCATATCATTATTATTCAACACGCAAAAGTGTGAGCTGCTGCGCTACGACAAGTGTCCTTCCACTGCCGAACACCTACTACCGCTTTTGTTGGGTCCAGGTTGCCAAGAGTATTTACGCCAATCTTCAACCCCTAGTCACCACAAGTAAGTCATTTTGCGAACTCCTTTGAATCCATACCCGCATCTACCGTGCAGAGTCATCATGAAGCCGAGTATAACAAGTCGAGTCATATATTTAAGGGGGACACATACACCTCAACATCCTTTTCATTTCATTTAAAAAAAATATAGACCTAAAATAAAAATTGATATTAGTCAACTTTAGAATTCTTACGAACCATTTAAACAAAAACGCTGCCGATTCATTGGCAAGAAGCTTCCTCCAAAGATGGTTTTTACTTATTGTTGAAAATGAAAAAAATTAAAAATTTTTTTCCTGCCTACTAATTCAGAAAGAGCAAAGATAACTTTAAAGAATTGAAGGAAAGGCTTGTCTCCAGATTTTGTTATAGTTTTTTCGAAGACATAAACAAAAAGGGTAAAAAAAGAAAGAATAAAGTGTTTTGAGTATTTTTCAATTTATCAATGATGAAATTAAGTTGGAAATATTAAATCATGTGATAAACTAAAAAAATTTTTTGTTTGAAATTTAAAATAAAAGGCGGCGACCTTCTGCTAGAGCTAAGGAAGGCCTCTGGGGACGCCAAGTAGATGTGTCGAGCTCTCGACGAAGCCCTTGGTGAGCTGGCCACAACCAGAGCTCGTCCTCAGGTCTCCCTCGTAGAGATCAGAGACCTTGATGAGGCTGCCACAAGAGATGAGATTCTCTCAGCCCTCCACAAGCAGCTAGAAAGAGCCTCTGAGCTGTCCCTGGAAGCAGTCAAGTCCCTGCGAAAGTCTTACGCAGGGACACAAACGGCTGTGGTTGTCCTGCCTGTTATCTTGCAGGAAAACTGCTTAAACTCGACCATATAAGAGTTGGTAGGGTCAACTGTCGAACCCGCAAAAAGCGTGAAACCTTACGCTGCTATCGATGCTGAGGCTTCGACTATACCGCGTCCGGACGCAAAGGCCCAGACCGCACCAAATGCTGTCTACTCTGCGGTGTGTCAGGCCACATGTCGAAGAAGTGCAAGAACGAGCCCTCTTGCGTCTTCTGCCAGGGTGGAGGAATTAAACCCCACTCTTCCATGAGCATAAGTTGTCCACTCCCCAGGAAGCACCTGCAAGGCGCAAAATAACCCGTGTCCTTCAGCTTAACCTGAACCACTGCATGGCGGCCCAAAGCCTTCTAATGAAGTCGGTGAAGAAGATGAAGATCGACGTGGCGATTCTGAGCGACCAATACAGAGACCTCCGGTCACCACATACCTGGATATCCGATGCCGACAGTCAAGAGGCTATCTGGATGCGGGCAGGAGTTCCTGTGCAACGGCGTGCCTCTAGGCAAAGTCGTTTTTACACCTAGGCGCAGATAGCTCGAATATACTTTTTCAGCGTATATGCGCCCCCTCGACTTTCCATTGGTGAGTTCGCTGGCTTATTGGCCAGCATTGTTGACGAAGCTAGAGGAAAAAAACCAGTCCTGTTAGCTGGTGACTTCAATGTCTGGTCCACTGAGTGGGGCAGCAGTGAGTCGAGACCAAGAGGCGAGATGTTGCTCGATGCAATCTCACCACTCGATGTGCTGCTACCGAACACCGGTTCGAGACCAACTTTTGTTGGTTCGCAGGGAGGCCCCGTGATCGACCCGACCTTCGCCAGTGACACGCTCTCCGAGCGAGTCAAGTCCTGGCGCGTCAGTGACGCCTACACCGGCAGCGACCACCATGCCATAGTGTTTAAGGTTCTCCCTGCGGGCTCCAACCCTGCTCCAGCCGGCCGTTGCAAGTGGAGCGTCTGCACGATGGACAGGGATTGCTTCGGCGAAATGATGTCTAGCGTTGACGTTTGTTCAGCGTGCCCTGAACGAATGGCGAATGAGCTTATGTCCGCACTCATGAAAGCCTGTGACGCCTCCATGCTGAGGGGAGACGGCCGCCGACGGCATGAGTCGGTCTAATGGTGGACTGAGGACATCGCGGAGTGTCGGCGGGCATGCCTGTGGGCACGGAGACTCGCTCAGCGAGCGCGTGGTCGTGACAACAAGGCCGCCCAACGAGAGGACTTCACCGTGGCACGTAGGAATCTGCACGTGGCCATTAGGGATAGTAAGCGCCGCTGCTGGAAGCAGCTATGTGATGAGGTGGACCGTGACGTGTGGGGCAAACCATACCGGACAGTCATGTCATGCCTTAAGAGCCCCAGAAGAGTATCCTCCGGCGAGCCCGAGCTGGTGCGATAAGTGGTCTCGACGCTTTTCCCAAGAGTCGCAACTCTTCGAATTGGCCTGCCTGCCCGGACGTACGAGGAGCGGATCCCTGAGGTAAGCGTTGGGGAACTTCGTGGAGTGTACCGCGGGGTGCGTGACCAGGCGGCTCCGGGGCCAGACGGAATCCCTAACCTTGCCCTAAAAGACGCAGTAGGTACTCGCATGGATGTCTTTCGCCGTGTTTTTACGGCATGCCTCAGCGAAGGATGTTTTCCCTGGCGCTGGAAGCGTCAAAGGCTCGTCTTAATGCTAAAACCAAGCAAGCCTGCCTTCAAGCTCTCGTCGTACCGCCCGCTCTGCATGCTGGACACCGCAGGCAAGCTTCTGGAAAGGATCATTGTGGATCGCTGGAATCATATCCTCAGCGCCTTAGAGAAGATGGGAGTGCCACCCTATCTTCCACGAATTATCGCCAGCTATTTCAGCGACAGGGTGCTGGAGTACTCCACTGACGATGGCGTGGAGATCTACAGTGTCACAGTGGGTGTCCCCCAGAGCTCTGTGCTTGGCCCCATTCTCTGAAACTTACGATCGTTGACGAAAAATTGGAAGATATCAAGGCAAGCGCAGACGACGCCATCCGGCTTGATGCCCAACATCGGGGGCCAGTAGCCAGCGCAGGCTTTATACCAACGTTGTTGACTCAGTCCTCCTCTACGGAGCCCCAACATAGAGAGAGGCTACAGAAACACACAGATATGTCCGCAAGGCAGAAGCAATCCATCGGCGCGCCTGTCTTCGTGCGATATGCGGCTTCCGCAGCATTTCCCACGAGGCGGTGCATGTTCTTGCCGGCACTCCACCACTGGTCCTCCTCATTGACGAACGCTCAAGGCTCTACGAGCACAGTCGTGAGGACGCCAGGAGTGAAGCCACTAGTGATGAGCGTGTCAAGACGCTGGCGAAGTGGCAGACCCAGTGGTCTACCACAACGAAAGGTCGGTGGACTCACCGGCTTATACAGAGCATCGCCGCGTAGATCGAAAGGAGGCATGGAGAAGTGAACTACCACCTCACGCCACTCCTGTCCGGGCACGGCTGCCTTAGGTCTTACCTATGTAGTACAAAGAACGACACAAGCAGCTCGTGTCCGACCTGCCATCCTGCAGTGGAGAACGTCGAACATGTCATCTTCCACTGCCCTCGATTCACGGTGGAAAGAGAAAAGCTTTACCGCCTATCAAACGGACCATTGGAGTCTGAGACATTTGTTGGATTCATGCTCGAAAACGAGCGAAACTGCGAAGCAACGTCCTCCTTCACTAGCTCAGTCATGACAAGACTTAGAAGCGAGGAGAATGCAAGAAGAAGATGACGAAGAAGACGCAATCCGAAAGACAAGCTAAACCATAGATTAGCTCCCAAGGAGTTACAGCCTTCCCCGCGAAGTAATGCCTAACAGTGGTCCCGCGGAGAATAACAAAGGCAGACGAAGAGGATGGGTTTAAGTCGGTATGAGTAGAGAGGCACACTACCCACCCACACAACACCTGTACACACCAACAGTACACTACTCGAGTCCGATATATCCATGCGACAAATACCTTTGTCGCATGTTGAATCTGTAAATAGGATTTCCCTCCTCCCCGAGAAAAAAAAACCACACACACACACACACACACACACACACACACCAAAGGAGCTTAGTCGAGGATCAAAGAGCGCTCGGCGCCCAGCCCGGATGGCGTACCCAACTCGGCGTTCGGGCTCGCTATTCCTGCACGTCCCAACATCTTCCTGCGGGTGTACACGACGTGTCTGGAGACCGGCGTCTATCCGTCTGGCTGGAAACGCCAGAGGCTCGTCCTGCTTGCAAAGCCAGGTAAACCCCCCGACTATTGCTCGTACCCGATTACTTGCTGAGAATAATCTTCAGCTACTTCTCAGCAAGAGTGCTCGACTTTACTACGGACGATGGTCCAGAGTCCTATGAAGTCACGGAAGGTGCCCCGCAGGGTTCAGTCTTGGGCCCGATCCTGTGGAATGTCATGTACGACGCCATCTTGCGCCTCAACTTCGAGGTCGATGTTCGTATCGTCAGTTTCGCGGACGACATCGCAGTGGTGGCTGTCGCCAAACACCTATGTCATATCAAACACGATCTGAACGCTGCCATTCTACAGGTGCAAGGCGCGCTCCAAGCTCTCAGCTTACAAACAGCTGACCACAAGACGGAGGCCCTGCTCATCACAAGCAGGAGGGAAATGGAAACCATCACCATCACGGTAGCCGACCACAGCATACGCTCGTCGCCGTCCATCCGCTACCTGGGCCTGCAAATCGACGCCAAGATGAAGTTCGACCACCACCTCCAAACAGTCAGCGCGAAGACAGCCGGTGTGATCGGTGCCCTTACGAAGATCATGCTCAACTCTGGGAGGCCCAGAAGTAGCCAACGTAAGCTGTATGCCAACGTCGTTAACTCTATACTCCTGTATGGAGCCCCCATTTGGAGCACAGCCGCACAAAAGCGAGCCTACATTCGCCAGGCTGAGTCAGTCCACCGACGAGTCTGCCTGCGTGTGATCGGAAGGCCGGCCACATGTCTCTTACGAGGCCACATATGTCCTTGCTGGCATACCACCGCTGGCCCTTCTCACGGACGAGCGAGCGTGGCTCTACGGCCGCCGCCGAAAGGACGCAAAGGACGATGAACGCTTGGCAACGATAAACAAGTGGCAGGAAGCATGGGACCAGTCGACGAAGGCCCGATGGAAGCACCGTGAAGTACTGCCTAACGGCGGGGATGGAACAAAGGGAAATTTAATGTGGATGTATCTACATAACCTATTTACAGCCCAAACCCATATGTTGCATTTGCTACCTAATGTAAATTTCTGTTTTCTCTTGTTACTAAATAAAATAAAATAATACATTCAAAAAAAAAAAAAAAAAAAACACCGGACTCCTTGGCTCAGTGGGTATAGTTCTTGCCTGCTGATACAAGGATGTGCCGTAAGGCGTGGATTCGATTCCCATTGAACGAATATTTGAGGATGTTTTTTCGCCTAGTGTGGTTGAGCCCGGGCCCAAAGTGGTACCACTCAAAAAAAGAAGAACCGAACTATGTCATCAGGATACGAAGCGGTAAAAAACCCCGATCACTGTGCGAGCGGGAAGCGAAGAGGGTAACCATAAGTAGGAGCCCGAGGCGAGGACTCACAAGGCTGGCGATAGATGCAGAGCACAACACTCCCACGATGAAGTCAGAAGTGAGAACCACACACACAAGATGGTAACAGAAAGAAGTATCAAAAACCCACCGTGACTTACAGGGTAGCGCCGGAAGCGAGAACCACACTTACATGATGAAGCTGATGCGGCAACCTGGTCACTTGCAGGGTGGCGACAGAAGCGCAACTACACTCACAAGATGGCACTGGGCAGCGAGTTCTAATACTTAACTCAAGAGGAGATGACAGCAATGTGTGACCACACAGTGGGGAACCCCGGCTCCGGAAGTGGGATACGACAATCGAGAGATGGCATCGCGCAGGGTCCCTGAACCCCTAATCGTTGCATATTACTATGCGACGGATGGGGATAGGATGGAAACGACCAAATACAACGAACCAGCAGAAATGCCCAACTAACCCCGAACACACCAAAGCAATGACTAGCGGCGGTTACCGGTGAGTGTCCAAATGGGGTTGAGTAAGGAAAAACACACACACACACACACACACGAACACATCTTCCCACGCTCGGTCCTATGGGTGTTAGCCACGCGAGTTAGTGTGAGTGCATGCCTCGCGATGTTATACCAGCACTGTCCAGACGACTTGTTGCAAGTCGGAAGCTATGAATGACGGGCTGCAGGACCAACAAGCACCTAAGACAGCGGATAAAGGCGGAATGATGAGTTAGTTGGAACGCAGGTCACTGCCGTTGACGACCTCCTCTTCGATAATAGTAGCGTCCATTACGCGGAAAATCATTGGCACCCTGCTGATAGCCAAAGATGCCAAGCTCCTGACTCCTGCAGAGTGCGACGGGGAGCCATGAAGGGAAAAAAGCTACATTCCCTTCGAAGAGGCAGAAAAAATCATTTATGCACCTGTATTGCACATGCCTTTTTTATATAATTTTAAAAGAAATTTGCTACTACAAGTAGATTTTCAAAAATCGTCCAAAGACCGCTCACCCTAATGCGTAGAGCTAGCAGATGATTATTGGTATCAGCATAGATGATTCAACTAACTGACTTATCTCACACAGCTTGACAAATACTCGAGGCTTACTTTGCAACTGGCTCGAGCTGCCTGATGTTTACTGAACGGCAATAGCTATCTCGATCACAAATTAGATGTTCGGCACAATTAAACACAAGCCTGAATAAAATGAAGTCACAGTACAACGTAAAATGACCTTTCCATACCGGATGAGACAATAGTCAAGTATCTATAATTCATGTGTCAGTCGTCTTCAAATGTATTAAAATTTGTACAAAATCGGGGAAACCGTTTACCTAGTTTTTCTGTCGATAACCATCTAAAACGAGGCCATTTGGCTGAACAGACATGTTTTCGTTGAAAAACTTTATGCACCGAAGTCACTGTTAGTGCATCTTGACAATGAGCAAATTGAGCAGTGTTCACGAAATTCATTATTAATGAAAGAAAAAATCTCCATGAGAGTTCAATTATATAGCATTATCATGTTAATTACTTGCAACACCAAAACTTTATGTGCATACAGCCCAATACATTTTTTATAATCAATTTTTTAGGTCTTCGTTACTCGGTACTATAAGAGGTAAAAGAAGTTATGTTTTCAAAGCAAAACTGAAAAATTTCATGGGAAAAATGAGTAAAGATACTTACCTCATTTGGTTTATTTAATAAACATACGTCTTTACCATTCTTCAACGCCGTTACATAATCAGCCCTGCTACATTCAGAAAATTTATATGGTTGAACATTTTCTAAACCAACAATTGATTGAGCCATGATGCAACCATGCCAATCATAACAACGACAATCTGATCCTGATGAATAAAAAGAAAGTTTTTAAATTATCTATGTAATAGTGAATTGAACAAAAAATGTATGAAAAAATACGATAAATGCAACTTTTTTGTGAATGAAATAAAATGTAAATTTTATGTGATTTTCTTGAACTTTTATTCTTTGGAAAAACAATTTACACTGGAAATCACACAATTCGAACTCATATGATTCAAATCATCTCATAATTTGAAGTGATCGCACATTTTCAAGAACTTAAATATATTTGTTTCGATTCGTCACCGCTAGGTGGTGACGACGCCGATCGTCGCAAGCACGGTAAGAAAAGGCGAGTTAGCCGCTTAAAGGAGCCTAGCGTCAGCGGTAATTTTTGATTTCCAGCGAATGCTAGTGGCAGAGGAGGACTTGTCTTCCAGCGCGCTGCGAAGCTCGAGGAGTTGTCGGCTGAGGAAGGTCCATCTTCTAGCGCGCTGACGATTTCGAGAGCTGATCGTTGAAGGGGGCAACCCCTGGCTCGCGATCACTTGAGCAACCGATGCTTTCTGCTGCTAGCTGGCTATTTTGTAGCAGTTCGGCTTGTTAAAAACCAAGCGCGACCGCATTCACACTCGGCGAGTCCGATAAATCAATCTATCAGAAAATAGATTGGAGATCACTGGTGTGAATAAGTTTAACATTATAAAGAACAAATATTGTTTCCAACTTCGGTCATCCATTATAGCAATCAACACTGTATCATATGTACTTATATTTAGCAATTTAATAAATAATACTTTTATACTAAACTAAGATTTTTGTCGGATCAATTCATTTAATCCTTTCCATCACAGCAAAGTCAGAAAAAAGGTTTTATTGTTTTTGGCCTTCTATTACAAAAAACAATATTTCAAAATTAATAAAATGGTTTAAGTCTCAATCAGCTACGCAGAATAATTCATCCAATTTAAATAATGTGGAAGATTTTATTATACAAAAAAATATTTTTTCTTAAACAGGCCACTATTAATGATTATTTTAAAAGATAAAAAAAAATATTTTTCTTTCAAAAAGCGATTAATGAAGTGTAAAATGAATCAGTGTCACACAATTCGAGAAAATTCCATTAATAAAAAGTACCATAGTTTCGGACACGACTGGCCAGTGAAACCAATTCCAAATTGATCGGCTTAGATCCATCACTTATTTCTTATGCTTCTGCTAAAACTCTTGCGAAAATATGATTCGCATGACGAAAAAATGATAAATCTCGGCCACGAGTATGAATGGATAACTGAAAAAAACTATAAAATTGTGATGATCGCGACTTCACCGATTTCGGGGAAAGAGCGACTCAAGGTCCGTTAGTATAAGAGCGCTAGACTGATAACCCAGGTAAAAAATGAATATAAGATCTGACTCCAGATCTGATGGCAGATCTGTTATAAGTTCTGGTGAACGCTAGGATGTTTCGCTTTTGCAAAAATGTTCAGAATCGAGTATACGTCATGGCGATTTTTAAAGTTTAAGTCTTTACGAAAAGAAAGCAGGGTTCAGAACCTCAAAAAAGTGTCGGTAACCGGTGTCGATCGATTTTTGAAGTTTAAAAACGTGCTCCAAAATAGGAGCAAAATCGGTCAACAATTCAATTTATCTCAAACTGTGGTCAGAAAATTTAAGTAACCAGGAGCGATACAGTCGTTTCTGATCTGATGTCAGATCTAATGTAAGTTCTGATGTCGATTATCGTATGAAAATTCCGATATAAAATCTGGCATAAGATCTGATGTGCATTAACCAGAACTTATACCAGATCTGATAACAGATCTGTAGTCAGATCTAACATACCATTTTCACCTGGGAATATAAATATCGATTTTTTCAAATTATCCGGGACATCCCTTCAAAAGTTTCAAGGTATCAGTAAATACTTCCCCTAAAATTTTGGCTCATTGAAAAAATTTTAACCCGTGCCCCAAGGCAATTTTTTAATTTTTTAAAATTAACTTAATTTTAAAAATAGCTTTTTTCGAAGCGTTTTTCTGACTAAATTTTCTTCAAATTTGCCAATTTTAAAACTCTGATATATTGGGGTGAAAGTTGACATGTAGACCATGAATTGGATGTCGGAAAAAAAATTTTTCATTGACCAGAGATCCGCATAGGCTGCCTCTAAATAATTTGGATTGAGTGCGACTTCAATTGGATAAGTTCCGCAATAGCGACCGATGCGACCACAGTGTGTATATAGAGTACAAACCTCGAAGATAGAATAAACATCTAAAAATGATTTATTATAACCTTTTAACTATTTTTGAGGTTAGTACTCTATATACGCACTGTGGTCGCATCGGTCGGTGTTGCGGAACGATACAATCGAAGTCGCACTCAATCCAAGTTATGAAGAGGCAACCATAGGTAGGTTTGAAGTTTTAAAGAAAGTAGAAACATAAAAAATGCAACAAAACTATGGAAACCATTTTAAATCTCACAAAAAAGCTGAGTATAATCACTTATGATAAAAATTACATTCAACTATCTGATAGGTTTTTGGATTTTGAAGATTCGAAAATTTTCCTGAGGTACAGTTGGATTTGTTTGATGCGTTCTTTTAGCGTAAAACTTATCATACAAAATCCTGTTCACTGGTTTTTTAATAAATAAAGTTAGCTCAGAATTACTAAATTTTAAGCTACAAAAGTATCTAGTACAAAAATATATATATCTCAGTTAAACTTGCAAATTTCAAAAATTTGAAAACGGCATTGGAAAAATGAGACAGAAACCTATCAGATGGTTTAAAGCAATTTTTTCGTGGGTGATTTATATAAACTGACGATCGATGAAGTCGTTTTTTTTGTATGTTAATAATTATATAGAATATAATATATATATGAGCAGTTTTTTCATATATGTCCAACTTTTGTGCGGGGCGGGGTTTTAACCCGGAGGATCGCCTTTTTAGGTCAAGGCATATATTTTTCATAAGAAAATTATTTATAGCTCGATAACCCAACCCCCGGTTATGGGGTGGCAATGAAGGGGCATGAAAAATCGCAAAATTGTCGTTTTTTAGCTTATTTGAATAAATGTAGAAGGCGATTGGATTGACGTATTGACTTTTTCAAGAACTCATTTGCAAGATATTTTTATTACCTTTTAATCACCGTGCGCAGGTTTAAGATTGGTTCGAGAACGACGGAGATACAGCTGTTTGAAGATATCAACATTATGAAAAAGAGCGTTTTTTCAAGATTTTGATAAGCTGTAACTTTTTTCTAGTGTGATGCAGTAAGTGCATCAGATGCTCGGCTGCCCGGCGAGCCCCTGTGTGATCGTCGTCGTCGATCCAATGATAATTTAAATGTAGGAATTAAGTATCTGATCGTTGTATTTATGTTTTCATGTGAGCGCGACGATCGAAGGAGACAAGGCCGTTGACTGCCGGTCAACGAATCAAACGTGTAGTGTAAGAAAAGAGAAGTCAGTTGCCTACGAATTGGCAAGATCGAGAGACCGTGTTTTGCGTGTGTTTGTGTGATTACTTTGAGTAAGTGTGTGTGATACGCAGTGTGTGTGAGCGCGACATCCAGGGTGATCCTCTGGATGTTTAAGTTATATTTATTATAACAACGTGTTATTAATTATTGTGTGAATGAGCCCGAGCCCCTTTTCTATTATTCTATATAGGGATTCGCGACGGACGGACCGACGACGAAGGGACATACGTGGCCGACAAGGGCCGTGGATCCGTGGAGTAAGTTCTAGGTCACACTAGTAACATGAATCTCTTTGAAATTTTATGTGACGTAGTTGATTACATCGTCGCCCCAGCGCAGGAAGGTATCTATTTCCAAGCTGTAGCAAGAAGGATACTTACTCGCACGCAGAGGCTAAAAGGTATCTAACTCGAGCGCAGCGGCAAAAAGGTATCTAATTCGAGCGAGAAGCAAAAAAGTAGTTTATTCAAACGAAGTGGCAAGAAAGTTTTGACGCGCTGAATTTAGGTTGGCAACGCAGCCGTAAATGATAAAATTTTGTTTTGTATTAGAGCAAAAAAGAGAAAAAAACGATTGAGCTAGTGTAATGATTTTCATCCATTTGTAATGCGAGCAAACAAATCAATCTCACCATGATTTCGACTCAATTTGGCACTTATGGAGAACTTTCTATGTTCTGAGAGGAAAGTAGAAGTTATCAGCTTTACATAACTTTGAATTAAATGTTGAATGTTCAATGTTGAAACAAAATTTTATCATTTACGGTTCCGTTGCCAACCTGAATTCAGCGCGTCAAAACTTTCTTGCCACTTCGTTTGAATAAGCTACTTTTTTGCTTCTCGCTCGAATTAGATACCTTTTTGCCGCTGCGCTCGAGTTAGATGCCCCTGCGTGCGAGTAAGTATCCTTCTTGCTACAGCTTGGAAATAGATACCTTCCTGCGCTGGGGCGACGATATGTAGTTTGAAGCCATGTAAGTTAGGATCTTGGTTAAAATTAAAATTACCTTAAAATTACTTAAAATTATCTTGAAAAACAAAAACAAAATATGTATTTGAACGTGAAATTTTTTGCTCTTTTTAAATCTGAAATAAAAAAGGGGGTCACCGTGCAAAAAATTAATTTTGGTTCGCTATAGCTTAGAGGTTATGTTCAAGGTCAAATTCAAGGTTACTATTGGATTTCTTGTCGAAAAATACGTTGGATATAGGGTTTTTGATTTTTTTTTATGTTTATTTTGCGATAATTTCAGGAGTTACCAAATAGTTTTGCTGACCAATTTATAATGTATTTTGCCTATATTAAGACTTAAATACCGAATTTCTGGGGCCTCTTTTTCATAATGTTAGTATCTTCAAACAGCTGTATCTCCGTCGTTTTCGAACCAATCTTAGACCTGCGCACGGTGATTTAAGCTAAAAAAATGCATCGTACAGAAATAGCTGTATCTCAGCGAATCTTGCGAATTTTTAACTTCTGAAACCGAGAGAAAAAAATCTATCAAATAGTTTCATGCAATTTTTTCCATAGTTGATTCTACTTAGCCATTTCCTGGAAGAAACTAATACACTTTTCGATTTTTCAATTTTTCGTAATGTCGTTTTTTGGGATAAAGTCGCTTTTTTTGTATGAAAATAATTTTAAAGTATATACTAATATATACGGTTGGATTTGTCCTAAAAAATCCTATAGTTTGGCAGCATTAAAAAATTTTCTAAATTTTTTCTGCTCATTTGACACGCCCTTGAATATGAACTTTACGAAATTTATGAAAAAAAAATATCGAAAAAGTGCATTTTTTTCAATGTTATCGTTCTCCTAGGTCAAAAATAACGACGGGGATCGATTCTTCACAAAAAATTAAGTAAGAAAACGTCTTGTTAATATTGATTTTACCCTCAGAGCACAGTACACGATTAAAATCTTATTTAGCGATGCTGTCCAGTTTTTGCACTACGTTTTTTAACTTTAAAAAGCTATCGACAGCTATTCAGGGCACCTAGCAACACCAAGTAGACGGAAAACTTCATATTTTTAGTTTAACTAAAAGATTCTGCCGGTGCTTCCAAAATTAAAAAAAATTTTCCAAAACGAACTAGTCTAGTGTACGTGCTTGTAAGTGTGATGAAGTGCGGTACAATTAAATTATTTTCTTCTTCCAATCCAATCTGCTGCAAATATCACACTTATAAGCATGTACACACAAAGAGAGATGGTCTAGAGACTGTTGATTCACCATTTATTTACTTAAAATTTAAATACATTGCGAGTACTCGAAAAAAATCGATTACTCGAATAAATTCAAGTACCCGAAAAAACCCGAGTACTCGAAAAAAAATCGAGTATTCGAAAAAACTCGAGTACTCGAATTGTCCCGACTCGACTCTAACTCGATTCGCCAAGTTCGAGTCGAGTAAAACTCGAAAATCGGATACTCGCACAGCCCTGAAAAATACATGCCTCGACCTAAAAAATGCGACCCTCCGGGTTAAAAATTATGTTCCGGTGCTTGAGTTACAAATATTTGAATAATACGCAAAAATAGGTAAAAACGGCTATTTTTGGATCTCTAAGGGGCCAAAAATTGGGCCCTAAGGCCCTTAGAGGGCTAAAAATTTACCTGAAGGCTATTTTTACAGACCCGAATAACATACTAAATTTTGGGGCAGATCCGAGAACCCCCCGCTCTAAAGTTGTACATATATGAAAAAACTACTGATATATATCTGCCTATGAGTATATTCCTGTATGAAAACGAAGTTACAGGACTAAAGTGACTACGGTATTTGATTCTCCAGACCAAAATCCGTAAGATAATATATTGATGAGATTATTTTCACTCTCAGAACAAAGTTTGAAATATATTTTCTGGTCGACCGAATTTTCTCCTTTGTAGGACCATGTTTTCAAATTCCAAAAATCCATCAGCACTTTTAAAAATCACTGTTTCTAATTTTTCCAAATTGAAAACTGCGTTTCAAACTATAGACTTTCAGAATCCGTTGGATCCACCAAGAAACAAAAATTTTTTGAAAAAGTGGACCATTCAAATGTATATGCGCTCATTTTAGTTATTTTATATTAATAAATCAAAGTCTTACATGAATATACGTCTCGTATTATTCATTTATTCACGACCACTCTTTCCCGCAGAGAGAACAGTACAGATACTCAAATCATAGGTAATCAACTCGGGAAAACGTTCATTAGAATTTTAATATTTAAAATTATTTATTTAACAATATTCTTAAAATCTTTCAGGCTTACACGAGAAATGCGTTTGTATAACTGTTCAAGTATTTTAAGGGCTAAAGTGTCAACGGCATTCAATTTTACGAAAAAATTCTAATCAGCCTAACGTTGAGTTTAAAATGTTTCAAAGGTTAAACTATACATTCTATGTTCTTTATTGGGGAGCGCGCCTCACGCTCCCTCTGGCAAGTATGACAGAGAGAGTTATATATTGCAAGTTTGCTCTCTTTTTTTCTTTACCTCGCAGCGAGTCGCGTAGTAGGTTTTACCTACTATTGTATTTAGTTATGAAATTGTTTCTGCGCGTTCCGCGGCGAGGTATATTCTATGAACTTGGGGATGGGTACGTGTACACTGATACACTGATTTTGCTTTATATTTTACTATAATTTATTTATTATTTTGTTTTATTATATGAAAATAGTCTATTTTGCTGGCCGTCGCGATCCGAAGTCGCGCAACCTTGGAATGGCTCGAGGATCTAGCGGCTACCCACGCACTATCGTCGGTGCGTAATACACTTCACGATGTTTACGCAGGTATCCGCGCTGCTGGGCTCCTAGATAAATGAAAAACGCGGTTGTGTGCTCGTTTATGATTGCGACGGGCTGGCAGAGGGGAGGTTAATACCGCGTCTATGCTATGTCCCACGCACTTTTTTTGTAGGCGGCACTCTTCTAAAAACGGACGGAGTAAAACATTAAAAGGACACTTGCATTTTTGTGCTTGTCGCTCCGTGGTGTTCCTCTCCGTTTTCCAGATGTCCCTCTTGGTGACGTCGGCTCGCTCTCGAAGAATTTCCGCTGGTTTCCGAATCTGGTGCTGTAAGAGCTGGCGATGAGAGCGAAATTAGGTTGCGTATGAGATTCGTCGGCTCTTGCTAGCACCACACTCCCACGGTCGATCGGGATCACGATCGGCGCACGAGGATTACCGCGGCTGGACGTGGTTATGATCGGCACACACGGACTTGGGAATTCCCGGTCAATTTGATCGTCGGCCTTGCACCGGGTCTCGGAAGACCGGTGTGCGTACCCAACGTCGTGCTGTACGAGCGTTGGGACTTGCCCGATCTATGACCAGTTTGGTCACCGCAGCCAACGAGTCAATGAAATTATTCACTGAGCTCAGCTGCTAGTCTGCTCTTACCGTCCGGTACGAGTCGAGGCTCTGTAGTGGCTGCGTGTGGCAAACTGCTGCGGGTTATAATCCCATAAGAAAAAAAGGTTAAAATTTACCTCGAGTGTCTCAGGTAGAGTCCTCGTTTCAGGTTACTGCTCAGAGGCTTGGACTGAATAATAATGAATGTTCGGCTTCTGCGCGGCCCGTATTTATACGCGCGCGCGACCTCCCCTCTCTCGGTGCCTCAGCGTTGTGGTGGGTCCTCTCAGCACACGAGTGCACGGCGCACGTGCGTGCAAGGGAGACGGGTGATGCCCCCACGCGAAGCCTATTTGCGTACGTTGCCGCGGTCGGAGGGGCACATGGCACCGCCGCGAGGACTTGCCCCTCGCTCGCGTCCGCCAGCACTCTGCCATGCCGATCGCCGCTAAACGCACCAACTGCCTCGCAATATACACAGAATTACTTACGTAAAACTTTGAAACAATAATTATATAAAACAGCTATTGATTTATTGAAAAAAATTTGCTAAAACATACTGTAACCATGAAAAATGATAATATATTAAAGAATTAAGCTATATTTTAGGCAAGATTGAGAAAAATTTCATGCTCTTTGTTTTCACAACCTTAAAATGAAAAAATTTTAATCGCAAAAAAAGGGATACCTACTTCCATCATCATGTGACATGCCTATATTATGACCAATCATGTGAGCCATAGATCCAGCTAATAAATGAGGTTCATAGGTATTAATATCCACACTTATTCCAACCGATTTTTGACTACAAACAGTATCTGGTGCTGCAATTCCAGATTCGCCACCAGCAAAATTTTTACCACTGCAAGAAAATAAAGGTTCATTTTTGTTAGAATTGTTTGAAAATCGTTAAGAAATTATTCAGAAATCTAAAAAATCAAACTAAATACGTAAACATGCCTGACCAAAGTCATGTTTTTTTCTCAAAAATTCTTAAAAATTTTAAAAAAATTCAAACATATTTTTTTCATCAATTTTAAGTCTTTCTTGTACTTTTCATTTTTTTCGTTTGTGAAGTTCTTTATAATTTGAGAAAATGACAAATATTTCCATATAATATTTAAAATATTTCCAAAAAAGAGCCGGATTTCTCAATAAGTTGAGGTAGATTCATTATCATGTACCCAGAAACACCGAAAAAAAAAAATAATTCGGTTAATATTTAAGACTCATAGGTGGAAATGTTTCTTCATAAGGATTACGTTGGTATAAGTTTTTTTACCTTCAAAAATGTGTTTTAAATATCTTTAATTAATACTTAAATTAGTTTAGGGACCTAAATTTGGTAATAGTAAGAATTTGCAAGGGTTTCGTTCAGGGGTAGCTTCAGATTACTTTCAAGACAGAGTACGTAAGGGCTAACAGGGGGCTTAAGTATTTTTTATTTTTCAATTACAGTACTAGGCTGTAAAAGCGAAAAAATAGTTATTTATGTAACAAGTGCCCAAAAGGCGTTTTTGGGCACGAGTGTGCGGAAAAAGACACGAGTGCCGGCCATGCCGGCACGAGTGGGTGTTTTTTTCCGCAAACTGTGCACAAAAAGCTGGGCACGTGTTGCATACAAAATTTTATGCAATAGTAGGCGAAAAATACGTTCATTTAAATGAGGCGTTTTACCGCACACCTGTGTCCAAAATGAGGCATTTTACCGTACACAAGTGTCCAAAAACGCTTTTTGCGCACTAAAAAATGTGCGAAAAAAGACATTTTTCGTCGTACTATTGCATAAAATGTTTTTTTCAAGAACACACATGATAAACCTTTTCAATACCCTATTTGAAAGTATTTTGTCCAGTTAGATGTTTAGAAACAGTTAAGTACAATAATAATGAGGGTTTTGACACACAACACAAGCTTTACACATATCTAAACTATCGTGTTTCAACAAGATAGTTGCCCAGCCTGTCCAAACGCGATAGAAGACGCGGAGCATGTGTTCTTTCGCTGCCCACGATTCCACGAAGAGAGGGAGAGACTTCAACAAGTCCTCCAAGAAGAAATCGAGCCGGAAAACATCGTCCGGCTCATGCTGGAGACTGCAGGCAATTGGATGGCGGTAGCGTCTTTTGCGCAATCAGTCGTCACTAGATTGAGGCAAGAGGCGCAAGAGGTTCAAAAACGATCCAGCCGATGCTGTAAGAAAAACCCAACTAGAAACTAAAAAAATCAAGAAACAAGAAAAAAAACTCAGAAAATCCCAACACAAGCATCGATGTTTCACATCTGGTGCAATTATGCTCGAGAAACTACTCTGATTTTAAGAGTAAGCACTCATTCATTATGCACCAGATGTGAAACATCGATGCTTGTATTGGGATTTTCAGAGTTTTTTTCTTGTTTCTTGATTGTTTTAGTTTCTAGTTTGGTTTTTTGTTTTGACTATTGATTCATGTTTTTGGATTTATTTTAGTTTTTTTTAATTATTTATTTTTTTTTATTTAATTGACAAAGATGCTTCACATCTTGCAGCTGTTCATAAACAGCTGATTTTTTAAAATTTTTTTTTAATTTTTTCAATTTTCAATTTGTTTTTCGTTTAGATTTTTCATTGGAAATCACGTTTCTAAAGTACATTTTTATCAAATTATTTATTTATGAATTATAATATAAAATTAGTGCATTGAGCGGTTATCGCTCAGTATTCATATGACATAAAAACATCTATTTCCTTGGACAAGTCATCGCCGAATCAAAATATCGTCCTAGTGCATCGAGCGGCTTTCATTCATTGTATGCTAATATGTATATAACATTATAAAAATTTCGTCTTGCCTAAAGAAGACACACACTCATAGACACTTATACATACATGCAGTAAGCATGGGACCGGTTGACGAAGGCCCGATGGACGCATCGACTGATCCCAAACATCAGAGTGTGGATCGAGAGGAGGCACGGAGAGCTGAACTACCACCTCACGCAGCTCTTGACCGGGCATGGCTTCTTTAAACACCATAGCCGACGCTATGACCACAATTAAAGCGCGCAATGCCCGGTCTGCCCCTCATCCATCGAGAACGCGGAGCACGTATTCTATCACTGCCCGAGGTTCAGCGAAGAAAGAGAGACTACAATCTCTGCTCCACGAGGTCATGACGCCGGAAAAAACCACCAGGCTCATGCTCGCAAGCGAGCCGAACTGGCTCGCGGTTGCTTCTTTCGCCTACTCAGTCGTAACTAGACTGAGAGACGAGGAAACAGACAGAAGGTGATGACCGGATGATGCGGCTGGAAGAAGACGCCATTCCAACCAAGCCATCACGAAGCGCATAACGCCAATCCCTCCATCCCCGTGAAGTAATGCCTGACGACGGTTTCCGCGGATATGGAACAAAGGGAACTCGACGCGGATGTATTTACATAGTCTATGTACCCTTAAGCAATATGTTTCATTTTCATTTCTATTGATACATTTAACCTAATGTAAACTTCTACCTCTACTTTCTGCTCAATAAAATATATTAATACATCCTAAAAAAAAAAAAACATACATGCAGTAATAAATATCAGATTTGACAACGTGCATGATAGTGCGTAGTCTCGCGACTTAAATGCATAGACAGCACATACGTATTCTATATGTATTATCGTATACGCATAAGCAAGAGAGAGAAAGATATCTCAACGCAGTCAATCCCGTGAGCTAAGCCGACTGCTGTTGCTTATGTTGTTACGTTGCATCGTGCACTGAGAGGGCCGTATTGCCAGCAGAGCGATCTCATCGCTATTGCAGCTAAACAAATGTTTAGCTTTGCCTGCAATGCTTGGTTAGGTTGTTATGGTGATTATATAGCTGATATAACTATTTTAAATGTCGACTTAGCGTTATATATTGCTATGTTGGCCATACTATGACAGCATTACTTCGTATTGCTCTCACACCAATACGGCCCTCTCAGTGTGTATATATGTAAACACAGACATACGCGCGTGCGAGAGCGAGAGAGAAAGAGATACACGCGTCAAGTCTTGGCAGCGGCCAGCAGCAGAAAGCGGTTCTATGTAGCTGGCGTGGCAGCCAATCACAGCGCGCAGCGCAAACCGACGCTGTACAGGCAGTTATACTACCAAAATTACGCTCGCTCGGACGGACGGACGGACGCTCGGTTTTCACGGGTTTACCCCTCATACCAAACGCCATTATAGATGTTTCACATCAAAAGACGAAAACGACGCTTCTGGTTCCTGGACCCCTAATCACCGTAAAGTGGACGGGGGATGTACGGAAAAGATACAGATGTAGCAGAGAAGCTCTACAGAGTTCCCACCGAAGTAATGTCAATGTAATAAAAAAAACATATCTAAGCTACCTGTCATAGAAATCTAAAGGAGCATATGTAGTTTCATTTTGTTAGATAGCCTATTGACCATGGTCGCAACCAAAATCTAGCCATAAGATAAACTGTAGCTACTTGTGTGTAAAATTTTCTATAATTTAGTATTCATTTTTTATCATTTTCTATATACTAATTTCACTTTGCTATATGTACAAGTAGCTACAGTTCATCTTATGGCAAGCTTTTGGTTGTGACCATGGCCAATTGGCTATCGAACAAAATGAAACCACATATGTTCCTTTAGATGGATGCTCGTTCTTGGATTTCTATGACAGGTAGCTTAGATATGTGTAAAGCTTGTGTTGTGTATCAACACCCTCATTATTACTGTACTTAACTGTTTCTAAGTATCTAACTGGACAAAATACTTTCAAATAGGGTATTGGAAAAGGTCATCGTGTGTGTTCTTGGAAAAAACGTTTTTTTTTGCTTTAACAGCCTAGTTTTGTAATTGAAAAATGAAAAATAATTAAGCCCTCTGTTAGCCCTTAAGTATATTATCGATGATTAATCAAAGGGCATCAGCATTACGGCTGGTGTGCCACAAGCGTCAGTCTTGGGCCCAACACTGTAAAACATATCGTACAACACTATTCTACGCCTCAACTTACAGAACAGGCTGAACATATTGGGCTTCACAAACGACATCGCTCTAGTCGCAGTTACCAAACACCTATGGCAGATAGACCACCTAAATGAGGCTGTCCTACAGATGCTCGAGGCTCTTCGAACGCTTGACCTGATCGCAGCCGACAATAATATTAAGTTCTGCTGCTCCCTTGCACGTAAAGGATGGTAACTATCACCATCATGTTGAGGGGCAGATACATAGACTCAGTGTCTTATAATTATTTTTCTTTACACCTTCGAATTGTACCTTCAAACCTTTAAATTGTAAGTAGCTTAAGGGCTCAAAGGAGGCTTAAAATCGAAAATATTTCATTTTCGAGTAAGATTTTTCGTCCCCTTTCCATTGCATTTTTCGAAACTTCAAAATTTCAAAATAAAGAAAAAAAATGGTGTTTCAAGTGCAGATTACACTTTTTGAAAAATAGTCACAGCACTTATCTTTGTACCATAGCGGACACTTTCTGATTTGACTTGACTTAAAAGTTACGCATGCACTAGTATTATAATGTACCATTAAGTATTCAGTTTCGAAGAGTAAGATCTTGAGATCAGTTCCTGTTCTTTTTTTCATGATTACTTATGAAAGATGAACAAAATCAATAGACATGAAATCAGCATCAACTGATATTAACTTCAAACTTCTCAAATTATTTGTTCATGTTCATTTTCTACCTCTGTTTTTCAGTACTACAATTTTTTTTTGAATTGAATAAAATGTCCTGAGCCGTTAATAAAATAATTCTTTTTTTATCAGTCGCATACACTTTTTATTATCGCTATTGAATTTTTTACATATATTTCAACTTAAAATATGATAATTTAAAAAACATTTAAAATATACTTGTAAATAATATAAAGGTTATATTTATATCATAATAATAAAATGATTTTCATACTTACGATAGTAACTGTGCCGTGTCATGAAAAATTTGAAACATGTTTCTGGTTTTGTAATCATTAAAATCAAGAAGAGCTCTGCTAATATCTGTATTTTTATCCAATGATATTTGATTTTCTCCTTGCCAAGTTTCAATATAAACCACCGACACTCTTGTATTTAAAGTACGGAAGTACTAAAAAAGTGTTAAAAAAGTTCAAATTAATTGATTGACCGTATTAAATATAAAAATAATCAATAATGAGCTAAAAAAAGGGTGATTGGTGTTATCGTTCAAGTTTTTAATTTGTAGGCTCTTGTGTCTGAAAGCCAGGATACAGCATTGTAATTGACTCCAACGTTTGAGCGATGGTGTTGGATGCTGACGTATCAATAAGGGACACGTTAAGTAAATTGTGTAATCACAGTAATTGCTCTCCCTCAGCTATAGTGGCGCAATATAAGTACCATTTATTATTTAAATAAGTCCAATTTGCTCCAAAACTTACTTATCATTACAAAGCTCTGTTCTGCGTGAATCTGAATGGAATCTTTGACCATTTTTGATCCTAGAGGTCTTAAAAATTTTTGTAATAACATTTTCTACCTTTTAAATGTAATAAAACTACAAGAAGAAGCTAGAAATTTCTTTTCAAACTAAAATATAAAAAAAATTTCAAAGATAATTTTTCGAACGCTTATTGCCACTATTCACGAATGGTAGATTGAATAAATAATATTATCAAAAATCTATTGCACTTCAGTAGAAGAGAATGTTATTACGAAAACTCTATGACCACTAGAATTAAGAATGGTCAAATATTTCATTCAGATTCATGCGGTACAGAGCTTTATAATGATAAGTACGTTTGGGTGCACGTTGGACTTATTTAAATGATATATGGTACTAGCGATATGTTTTCTGGTGTAAAGAGGCTTAAAAAAAATTTCAACATTTTATTTTCATTACGTTTGTATGCTCTAAGTCGACGAGTGCGAGCTGCGCTTTGTTTACCTTTACGATTCTTGCCTAGAATTACCTTTTATTTCATACCCTCTCGGCCAACATTTTGCTTTCAAAAGTAGTGATTCCTTTGTCAAAAAAATAAAGATTCGAGAAATCTGGGCCTAAATCGTGTATTTGTGTACGACAGAACAGATAAACGCGATAACGCATCGCAGTTTGCGATCGCAGCGGAGTTTATATGTTTTATGCCGTACCGGAATTCAGACAACTAATACGCCCATCGTTGAAACCAATTATCTGCTGTCTGTGGTATTCCTTCGCTTGGTCCCAAAAAAAGCTGCAACGACCTATTATCGGTTCGTAGGATTATTTCTTTTCCGAATATGAAATTTCGAAAACGTTTTAGTCCAAAAATTACGGCTATTGCTTCTTTATCGAGTATTATCCTTTTCTTCTTTTTTGGTGTTGTTGGCATTGTTTGAGTCGCGTACGCAATTGGTTTTTCTTGTATTTGAGCGATAGTATCGTGGATAGGCCGTAGTCAGAGGCGTCGCAAGCCAATACGATTTGATTATTTGGGTCGTAGTGTGTCAATACCCGTGGCGATATTATTTTGTTTTTGACCCAATCGAACGATTTTGTGCACTTTCCGTCCCAGACAAAATCTTTTTGACTTGCTAAGTCGTGAAGCGGCTGTGAATTTCCTGTACGCTTTTCTAATAATTGTGCGTAAAAGTTGATAAACCCAAAAAAAGAAGCCAATTCTTTGGCGTTTGACGGTTGAGGTACGTTTATAATAGCGGCCACTTTAGACTGTGACTTGTGCAATCCATCCTTACCGATCATGTATCCGAGTACAGTAAAACTTCGATAATTCGAACTTCGATAATTCAATCTTCGATAATTCGAATTCAAGTTCTGTTTTTAGCGTTTTCGATGTAAATTTAATGTTAATTTACCTCGATAATTTGAACAATATCGTAATACGAAATTTCGATAATTCGAAATGAAATTTTGAACTTAGAGTCTCTAAATCATGTAAATTTACCTCAATAATTCGAAATAAAAAACTGAAAAGTTATTAGCATTACACTATAATGTAAACACAAGTATGTATTGTGTATAAGCCTAACAACAATATTAAAATGAACACGTTAAATTTGAGTCACCTCTAGGCACTAGCCGCGTACATACATTACTAGTCTATTTAGATTAGTCTAAATATCATGTCAAGTGAAAGTAAATATAAATCTCGCCCAATAGCGCAAAAAATTGAAGCCATACGAAAAGTTGAAATAGGTGAAAAAAGTAAATCCCTAGTAGCTGAAGAATATGGTGTTTCTCGAAGTACCTTATCCACATGGCTGAAAAACAAAACTGCAATACTGAGTTCTTCTTCTGCTCTTCTTCTGTTGGTGGGAAACGGAAAAGAAATAAGAAACCAGGTTTTCCAGAAGTAGATGAAGAAGTAAGAAAATGGTTTATCGAAGTACGAGCGCAAAAAATCAACTTTGACGGCACATTTATCAAAGAAAAGGTGGAAAGTTTTGCAAAATTATTGAATATTCAGACAAACAATTGATTTTTTGGAGTTCTCCAACGATCTGTTTAGGCAGTAATTTAACTCATAATTTTATGAGTGTTGATTTTCCACGAAAAGCTAAGATAGGACGATGATTTTCAAGATTATTTAAAATACGAGACTTTTTTCTACGCTAATTTCAAATCTGGGGAGTTGAAAACATCTAAAGATGACTATTTTATCAAAGCCACAATGCAATTTGAATCGTACACAAAGTGAAAAAATTCAACCTAGACCAGGAGTCGAACCTAGAACTCCCCACCAATAGCCGGCGAGTGCTATACCAGTTTCGCTACCGAGGTCTTGGTCAACGCGAGTAATTTCATAACAAAATTAGAAATTTGAATCGATAAAAGTAACATCTTCATGTTACTCGGTTCATGTTACACCTCGGTAGCGAAACTGGTATAGCACTCGCCGGCTATTGGCGGGGAGTTCTAGGTTCGACTCCTGGTCTAGGTTGAATTTTTTCACTTTGTGTACGATTCAAATTGCATTGTGGCTTTGATAAAATAGTCATCTTTAGATGTTTTCAACTCCACAGATTTGAAATTAGCGTAGAAAAATGTATCGTATTTTAAATCATCTTGAAAATCATCGTCGTATCTTAGCTTTTCGTGGAAAATCAACACTCATAAAATTATAAGTTAAATTACTGCCTAAACAGATCGTTGGAGAACTCCAAAAAATCAATTGTTTGTCTGTATAAAAAAACGGCAGAATCGTGAACTCGATTAAAAATTATTTATTGAATATTGACAATTTTAAAACCAGTATTGGTTGGTTTGATAATTGGAAAAAGCGAAATGATGTTGAGTACAATCAATTATGCGGAAAAAATGGTAGTGTAAACTATAAATCAGCCACCACTTGGATGACATCGCTCCATCCAATTTTAAAAGCCGAGAAATATTTTTAATGCAGATGATACCAGATTATTTTACAAGTGCCTTCCATCAAAAACGTACAATTTCAAAGGTCAACCATGTTTTGATGGTAGACACAGTAAAGAGTGAGTATCACTTCTTGTTGGTGCCAATATGGATGGAAGTGAAAAACTTCCATTGCTAATGATTGCTGAAATATTCAATTGAGCCAATCCCCAGTGTTCAGTTCCCCCAATAAAGGTCTGTCTGAAAGGATCCGTCATTGTTTCGGAAAGGCTCGCTTTGCAATTGCATTTGAACCAGTCATACAGATAATTGAAGAAATTGATCAAAATTGGTATTGGGAAGAATATGTTTCTATTGATGATGGTGTATCAACATTTGGAGTATAAAATGAGCAAGAAATAATTGCTGATATTTTAAATAAGAAACGAAAATTGAATGAGGAATCATCTGATGATGATGACGAAGAAGGAGAAAAAAAGTACTAGGAAAATCATTCCTACACCGAGTGGAGCAATCGGAAAGTTTCAAGGAGTGAGAGATTTCATCGAGTCTTGTGACAACGAAGTTTCTGATGATTTATTTTTTGCAATGCAATAAGTTGAATCCTTTCTTATAAAAAATTAAAACAAAAGCTGTTAGTTCAATCTAAAATGACTTCTTATTTTAATTAGAATTGTATTTAAATATGTGACCTTGGTCTTACTGCCTGAACTCACGGCCCTTGTCGGCCACTCTGGTCCCTTTTGTCGTCGGTCCGTCCGTCGTGAGTTCTCCTATTGAACCCTAGATAAAATAACAACACGGGGCTAGGGCTCAATCATACAATAAATATAATAACCACTAATTCAATTGAATAATGCGATTTATTACTCGCGGTAGCTATACATGGCCGAGTCGGCCCGAGGAGGTCGTCGCTGGCGCTCTCGCACGGTGACGCGTCAAGCGCGAGGCCTAGACGAGGGGAAAATCACCAAACAGAAGACTCGTTGCCCGACTCACCACCGTCGCGATCTTCTATTATCGGGGCTTGCCGGTCCTCCAGATGAATTCCCTCCTGCAACACAAGTAGAAAGCTGGTGAGCCTGGACGTCTCGTCGTCCCCTCCTCACGATGACGATGACTGGCCCGCAGCACACACTCTCCGCGCACTCGAGCTCTCGTCGAGCTGACCACACTCCTCACGAAGAGGCCTTAGGGTGATTACACCCGTGGAGCTCGACCAAGAGTCGACTTAGGCATCCAGAGGGTCACCCTGGATGTCGCACTCACACACAATGCGTATCGCACACACACTTACTCAAAGTTACACTCGAAAGTCGATCGCACGATCTTGCCAGTTCGTAGGCAACTGACTTGTCGTTATTCATACACCGTGTTGACAAGCTGCCAAACGTCCTTTCTCTTCTCATCGTTGCTCACATGAAAATATAAATACCGCGATCAAATGATTTACTATATTCAAATTATTACTATTGGCCGACGACAACGACTACGCATGGGCTCGCCGGGCAACCGAGCATCTAATGCATTTACTGCATCACAAATATTAAATAAATAAAAATACCTGCGTTTTTCTATAATTCGAAATTTATTTAATTTGGCCTCTTTTTCACTTCGTTTATTTGAACTTCGTTAACTCGAAATTCTCATGAATTCGAAATTAAAGCCTGTATTTAGAATTTCAAATTATCGAAGTTTTACTGTATATCTAATTTAGGTTGCAAAAATTTGCTTCTGTAGGTATCGATTCGAAG